AAACTTATACGAGCTTAGTCGACCGAGCGGAAAGCCCTTTATCTTTAGAATACTTAAGCAGAGCTTAAGTATCTCCTATAGAACATACTCCTTAGAATCTATATATATTAGCAAATAATTTAAGATCTATTATATGCGTTCGCTAGTATAAACGTACCCTACTTTGCGCAAGCTTCTATAAGACTATTAAAGTAGGCCTTATCGATTAGATACCTAACACTTAGCCTTCCCTCCTTCTCTACCTAGTTATAGCGATAGCTTAGTATACTACCCCTTACGTGCGGTCTATTAGATTATCTTCGTACGGGGTGCTTGTTCTATATATGTACGAACGAGGCTAGTTCTTTCCGCATAATAGGTATGTAGATATACTTTATAGTAATGCGGTTAGCCTTCTTTGCTTTATAAAACCACCCCTTCTTCTTTAATATTATAAAGAAGCCCTATAATATTAAGATTAATTAGCCTAACCCGTATAATTAGATTCGGATATAACGGGAGCGTTGCTAAAGTATATATAGATAATATGCTCTATATACTTATATACTATACCTTAAACCTTCCTCGTATAAGCTAGCCCTACTATGCCTCGATACGGATATTAGTAGTGCTTATTCTAAATACAAAGCAGCGGCGAAAGCGTACTTTACGCCTACGAATAATCCTAACGTGTTAGTATTAAGCCTGCGCTATAAGAAGTGTCTCTTTACCCTTATCTGTCCGAATAATACGAGGTACTCTCGTAAGCTTTTTGCAAGCTTTCGCAAAGTTAGATAGCATAGACACTATTATACGGGCAGAGGGTCTAAGATAGGTATATAAAATAAACCGTGTGTCTGCATTAATAGTAGCATAGATCTAAAAGCTATAGTCCTTAAGTTTATAGTATGYATCTATACTCTAGACTRTATTAGGGCTAGGCGTAATATACTTCCTACGGCGACGTATAAACTTCGTAGCCCTATTATACGGGCTAGCGGGATAGACCTCGCGGGCTATCTCGTATAGTCGCTTCCTACGATATAGTAGCATATTAGCAAACCCCTTTCTACCCTATAGATGTATATCGTATAAATATACTAACCTACTAAGCGTAAGCCGCGTACGATCGGTTATACGGAAGTGTGTTTATAGTAATATTGTTCTATATGCTCTAAGGTTCGAGCGATTAATCTCCTTCTTTATAATCTTTTTATATTCCCCTTAACGCTTAAGGAACTCTCCTTCTCTTAGTCGTTTCTTAATGCCTATACTCCGCCGAAGCCGTATAAAGGTATAGTACTTAATCGTAAATCCCTCCTCGTTTAATTTGTCTACGATATACGTATCTAGTAGAGCTTCGAGGTAGAAGA